AACACTTTAACACGTCTGTTTTACTTTAAAACACTACTGGGGCCGACCCTTTGTGGGATCAAGAATCCTATCCCTTCTCTTAGGCTTTTAGTATTTTAAAACAGTGAATTCACTATGTTTTAACATGTTTTCATTAAATTTTAAAAATACTTTTGCTATATTAATTGGATTTCATATAGAAATTATGCGCTGAATAATACGTTACATATTGCCATTGCAGAACCTCCGATGACATGTTTATGTTCTTCTCTTGTCAATTAGTTCCCTTTATTTAAAGTAAATATTCAAGCGTATTGACTTTTCGTTGTTGGCTCTTACATCTGTACAGATCTTTAACTGTAATTAAAAAAAAAAAAAATTATAATTGAACCCCCGTGTGGAATCTTCAGATAACCGATATATGTAAAGATAATGGGAACTTTAACCATGCCATGATGGAATCGTCGGATGACGAGGATGGGGCCTAACGTATCCACATGGAAAACAGCGGATTTTCAGATTGGATGAACGTATCCAGTCTGAAAAAATTCTCGGGTTTTTCCACCCATTCGGATTTGGTCCAGGGTATCCAGAGTAGTAGGCTGCAGCCATTTTGTCATCCGTGGTCACCAAGTGCTTTTTCATCCGTACTTATTGTGGGGAAACGGAGACAAACATACCACAGACATAAAATTCTCATTGGCTACCGGGATTTGATCCAAAGTCCTCCAGAGAGGTATGCCAATGCCTTAACTGTCTCCATCATTTGGCCATCCATCTTGGACTTACAATACAGGAAATAATAAAGATGATGTATCACTTGAGCTAATAAAGATCATTGTTATTGCTGATCTGTGTATAAAATTATCATCTACTTATTCCTGTACTTGTAAGAAAGTCTACCTCTTGCTTTATCATTACTAAGGCGTTCCACTTTTAACTTCCTAGCTTATAACGAGATCTTACGCTTCTAATAAGTCACCACTGTTGAATGGGCGAGAGGTCGAAGTGGCAGTCTACCATCGCTGGGATCAAGACCAGACGGGTCAAAATGTACAGGAATTTTTTGATGGACCATCTGTTAGACTGCGTCGCCAGCCTGGCCAAACCTGTGATTAGTTTCAGAAAATAGGGATGTCTTAGTGCCCGTGGCCAGAAAATTAATATATAAATAAATAAGACCATTATTTTTTCATTTTGAGATATTAATTTTTATGGATAGCTTAACTGAAGAATGACAGGTGTATAAGTAAATTTTAATGAGGTTAACAGCATACAATCACCAATGTATGCTTACCTAAATAAATTCACGATCATCTTTATATACTGATTCTATTTTCACAAGTTCATTTAATAAAATTGATGAAAAAAATGTTCACATTATATTTGAATCTCTTGCAGTGAATTTTGAAATTATCATTTATTAACCACACTAGAATGCTGCTTATTTTTCAGTCATCCCTTCACGGTATTGTTGAAATTTGGGGATCAAGTTTTGTATAAATTTCAATGTTCCTGCTCTTTACAGATGTATGTATTATTTATGATTTTAGTGTTATTTGCTTTTTATTTCACTTCATATGTATCAAATTATACAATTGTGTGCCATATAATACACCAATATCATTTAAATTATAAGAAAATTATTAAGTCAAATAATGAAAATTTCTTGAATTAATAAGGAATTTGGTATTATTTGGCTTAAATATAAATTTATACAAAATGCACTTATGTATATTTTTACTATTCGTAGAAAAAAAAGGAGTTGGGAAAATATCAAAAATTATTAACAATTCTCTAATGAAATAATAATAAAATATGGGGTCTTCTAAAAAAGAATGCTGTCATTTTAAATTACTGTAATTATGTTAATTATTACATAAAAAGTATACAACATACACCAATCTCCTGTCTGTATCAAACATCTTGTTGTCTACTGTCTCTAGGAAGCACTGTGAAAGAAAGTTGCAACACTAAAGCGAAGGTATTTTGCAGTCTGAATCACTTGTCATTGTGCGATGAGAGTAATTTGCGAGAACCACAAAATTGTGACTGACGTGAGGAGTGATGATGGATATGATGCAGTGAGCATAGGAAGAATTTCAGTATCAGTGGGATGTGGGATTTGAGGTGCATGCATCGAAAAATTGAAAGGAGCAAATGTGAAACTTGGACGGCTTTCAATGGTTTAACTCTTTAAATACAAGATTGGCCCAAAATTACCTTTATCCATTGAAGATTAAATTGGCCAAAGGAAAATTTGTTTGACTGGTTTTGCCATACAAATTTCCCTCGCACCCTGAGAGATAAAACAATTTTGTCTTCAGGTACATAACAATTTCAAAATTGCTCAGGAATTAAATAAATAAAAAGAAAACACCTTTTTTTGCTGAGAAATAAATGTAATTGTAAAAAACAAATGTTTTCAGCCCAATTAATAGAACTGATGTGTAACTATTTAAACAGCCTTCTCCCATCCTACTTCTGTATATTTCGATCTTCTCCGCTGTCAGAAGTAGGATAGGAGAAGGCTGTTTAAATGCGAGGGATGCCGAGAGCCTGCCTTCAGCATGGAAGTACTTGGTTAAGAAATTTACTGGAAACTTGGACCAGAATTAGTACATTGAAGATTTATGTTATTTTTGTTTTATTATTTGTTTTATTTTAATTTTTATATATTCTTCCGTTATTTTTCTCTTGTAAAATAATTTTTGATTTAAATTTTTATGTTCTATTCATGGAACATTTACGTTCCATTTTCGTTTGCAACCTGAAGATGGCCTATTAATTGGGCTGAAAACGTTTGTTTTTACAATTACATTTATTTCTCAGCAAAAAAAAGGTGTTTTGTTTCTATTCAGGTACATAGAAATAAGAAATTTTCACAGCTTAGAGTCAATGTACATTACTCTTGGATATTAGACTTCTTGGATAGTTATTAACATAATTACAATAATTTAAAATAGTAGCATTGTTTTTGCAAGACCTTGTTGTATATTTCAATAAAAATGATACTACTTAAGAAAATTTCATAGATCTATTTTATTGTGCTATATTATTAAAAACTATTGTGTATTTTCCAGACTGTTTTTAAGAGTGAATACAAGATAAGATTCAATTATAAGAACTGATGTGTAACTATTTTGAACATAAAGCTTTATGTAACTGTAAAATAATCTGTTTTCGTTGCAACAAAGCAATATATTTCCTTCTATCTTTGCTGTCCGCAACAACAGGCCCTGACTTCGCTCTCCAGATTCTGACAGCCGTTGGCGGATTCCGCATAAGGTCCGTTTTGAATGTGATCACAATAGTAGAGGTTTTCGGGCTGAAGATTCGAAGACAGCGAGACGACGGCTTTCAGACCCGGTCCACTCAGGTTCCAACAGCCGGACACGTCCAGGTGTTGCAAGTGCGTTAGGATTCCACTTTCAGCAAAGTATCTATAATAATGTAATAAATATATATGTTTTAATAATGTATATAATATTTGTTTTATATTATTTATCATCATAACTATTAAACTTGACACTAATGAATGAAACTTACTGACAAATTAATTTTTAAATTAAACATCTTCAAATTATTAAAATTCAAAATAAATTATAGAGCATTCAGCAATGTGCAAATGATGGAGCATGCCCCAAAGAATGGATAAACTTTGGAGTTTTTCCAAAAATTATTCTCAATTTCAATAAAAATACAGGCATTTATTTATTTTAAATAAATATATTTTTTAATTTTGCTATTTATTTATAACAAATTATCATTTCAATACTAACTTCAAGATTGTAACAAAAAAATATTAAAAATGAACTAAATATAAACAAGTTATTTTAAAATTTTTGCATTCTCTTATTAATAGACCAAGGTTTGTTACAGAACTATATTGTATAATAGCAATAGTCTTTTCTACATTATAAACACCATTAAATCATTGTTACCTATAATACTACTATAATCATATAATGCAGTCTCAAAAGAGTTTTAATTTTAGTTACATAAATATAAAATTTATTTGATTAATAGCAACAATTATTAATTCAAGTTTTGTAGTTTCTGTGCTATAATTTCTAAAGTTAAAATAAATGGATCGGTAATAAAAAACTTAGTTATTTATTTGATTATATTTTTATGTTAAAATATATTATTATTAATAACTAAATATTGAAGAAAGATTGATCTAATTATAGAGGATTATATCAAAAAGCAATTCTTGTGATGGTAAATTGAAATTCTGTTGTCGTCTCTTTTTCTAATTTCTGTCTGTCTCTACCTTGTAGGCTATGCTGTTGATATAATTATTATTGTTTGAAAAGCAAATGATTTAATATTCGGATCCATGAATCTATAGACAAATTATGCTCTCTGTTATTGGAAATGAGTAGTTCAATTCAAAATTTCATACAATAACTCTTCTGTTATTCTTATTGGGTTTAGCTTTTTATGAAGGCACAGAAATGAATGTCATGTCCAGTGCAAATTATCAAAATCATATTTCTGAAATAATCATTACAGATATTCTAGATCAGTAATGATAATCTTTTCTGGCTTGCAGGCCAAAAGTAAACTTTGTAGATTTCTGACAAGCCTTGTGCAATTTTTCTTACAAACTTGCAAACTTTAAGCTTGCTGAGTATAGACATACAGTCTATACTCGGCAGTACCCCCTATAACACTGTTGATAATTCCGTTTTATATGAATTCCACATTGTACGAGTCACTTATATTTTACAAATACGTGAGCCGTTCACAGCCCAGCATAGGTATTTATAAAATCTAAGTGACTCGTACAACGTGGAATTCATATAAAATGGTATTATCAACAGTGTTATAGGGGGTCGACTGTACTATGTAACTGAAAGTACACTAGGTACTAAAATAATACATGTTAATGATAATCAAACAAATAATATGTAGCTTAATCTCATCTTTTCAGGGACCTTGTGGACCACAAGATCTAATGAGGGTCTTGAGCAAATACTACTTGTTTTATTGAGAAAAATATCAGATTTTCCAAATCAAACGTCTTTTTACTCAATTAGTAAGTAGTAATGAATCATCTTTAGACAAATATATTAAAACCGGCATGCTAATTCTAAATACTAGATTATTTCAGGCTACATTATGAATAATTTTAAAATTTTTGCATTCTCTTATTAATAGACCAAGGTTTGTTACAGAACTATATTGTATAATAGCAATAGTCTTTTCTACATTATAAACACCATTAAATCATTGTTACCTATAATACTACTATAATCATATAATGCAGTCTCAAAAGAGTTTTAATTTTAGTTACATAAATATAAAATTTATTTGATTAATAGCAACAATTATTAATTCAAGTTTTGTAGTTTCTGTGCTATAATTTCTAAAGTTAAAATAAATGGATCGGTAATAAAAAACTTAGTTATTTATTTGATTATATTTTTATGTTAAAATATATTATTATTAATAACTAAATATTGAAGAAAGATTGATCTAATTATAGAGGATTATATCAAAAAGCAATTCTTGTGATGGTAAATTGAATTTCTGTTGTCGTCTCTTTTTCTAATTTCTGTCTGTCTCTACCTTGTAGGCTATGCTGTTGATATAATTATTATTGTTTGAAAAGCAAATGATTTAATATTCGGATCCATGAATCTATAGACAAATTATGCTCTCTGTTATTGGAAATGAGTAGTTCAATTCAAAATTTCATACAATAACTCTTCTGTTATTCTTATTGGGTTTAGCTTTTTATGAAGGCACAGAAATGAATGTCATGTCCAGTGCAAATTATCAAAATCATATTTCTGAAATAATCATTACAGATATTCTAGATCAGTAATGATAATCTTTTCTGGCTTGCAGGCCAAAAGTAAACTTTGTAGATTTCTGACAAGCCTTGTGCAATTTTTCTTACAAACTTGCAAACTTTAAGCTTGCTGAGTATAGACATACAGTCTATACTCGGCAGTACCCCCTATAACACTGTTGATAATTCCGTTTTATATGAATTCCACATTGTACGAGTCACTTATATTTTACAAATACGTGAGCCGTTCACAGCCCAGCATAGGTATTTATAAAATCTAAGTGACTCGTACAACGTGGAATTCATATAAAATGGTATTATCAACAGTGTTATAGGGGGTCGACTGTACTATGTAACTGAAAGTACACTAGGTACTAAAATAATACATGTTAATGATAATCAAACAAATAATATGTAGCTTAATCTCATCTTTTCAGGGACCTTGTGGACCACAAGATCTAATGAGGGTCTTGAGCAAATACTACTTGTTTTATTGAGAAATATATCAGATTTTCCAAATCAAACGTCTTTTTACTCAATTAGTAAGTAGTAATGAATCATCTTTAGACAAATATATTAAAACCGGCATGCTAATTCTAAATACTAGATTATTTCAGGCTACATTATGAATAATTTTAAAATTTGACTTAGACAGTGTTATAAATTTTAAAAATCAATTTTAAATTTAATTAAATAATTTAGAAAACTGGAAAAAATATTGATCTGAAACAGGAAAAATCTGCAACTACTGCATATCAGACAGGCATGTTACTAGTTGTTCTATACAAACTTCTATTGCAATCAGTGTTTCCAGATATATACAGTAGAGCATAGGTTATCCGACCCCCGATTAACCGTCACATCGGTTAACCGACTGTTCTATTCGGCAAATTTCAAATGTCCGTTAGTGATGTGGCGCTACAATACAGTTGACCCCCCAATAACACGGGTTCCTATAGTTCGGATTCCTATATGACGACGATAAAATTGCGACAATATCCATACAAACATGGTAAAAAAACTCCTATAATTCGGTAAAATGTCATCAGGCAGCCAAACTACTTTCCACCGTCAGTGCCACGCTACGCTACGGAGAGTTTAGGCGGGTAAATTGAGTTTTCTATCGTCTGTACAGTATTATATATAAATTGGGTACTGTATATATAATTATATATTAACTTAATTTATTGTAACTTTATTATAATTATATATATACTTTCTGCCGTCCAGCGCCAC